TTTAGACAAACCCTTTGTGACGACCTAGAATTAAGTATAAATGCAGTAGAACTTATTAATGGATATACTAATGGCTTCTTCTATTATTGGTACATTTGACGATATCGTGCGGATCAAGGTTTTTTTTTATAATTGCAAAATATTTCTGTCGACTACAAAATAATTTTCCATGCAACCTTTTCCCCTTTAAGTAATTAATTTAATTTTCAAAAATGCTGTTTGTTGTTTTTTTATAGTGATGTTAAATTAAAATATTTCTCTATACCTCCTTCCCCCTACTTTAGATTTTATTGATTGAATTTCTAAATTAGGCTTTCGCTATAAAAAGGTATGAATTTTCTAATGATTGTTAAATAAAGTTTTCAATCAACTTTATATACCTGCCTAAGCTATGATACTTCACTTAGGCCCGTTTTCCGACCGTAACACAAGAACATCTTACCCTTACAAAACTCCCTCAGGTCGTTTTACTACCGCACGTTTACTTAAACAACCCTCAGATAATATCCGCCCTCATTTTTATTATGCGAAATATAAGCTTAAATAATTAAGCTTTTACCAAAAGTGATGTACATCACATCCAATTTAAAATACATTTTTAAAAAGGGTTCTTTATTTTGTAATTGATAATATTCTCTTTTTTTGTTCTTTTTCGTTACTTATGTTAAATACTACTTTTAAGGCCTGCCCCACCACTGGCTGATAGAGGCACAGATAGCTTAAAAATGACATCACTGTCATATAAGGGAAAATATAAGGCAAAATTCGATATTTCCGTCACATCTTTGACACGTTGGATTGTTATCAAACAATTTGGTGGGACAGTCACTTATAGTTATCAAGTTAAATTCTTTGTTAAGTTTGAAATGTACCAAAGAATATCTTTAGGTTGAAGGGTGTCGTTTAATTAACTAGTAATAGTTTCTATAATAATTCAATTCACTGACTTGGAGATTATTAAACACATTAATCTCTGCCGAGCTGTTGTACACAAGCGCACCTGTGTACACTGTACAGTGTGTACACTATACACTAACGCTTACAGTTTACCCAACTGGAAATTAATTATTCCGTTACACATGTACAATCAGAGCCCATGTATCAGTAATTACCGAAGCATTCGGCGTTATGTACTGCGTATCAAATTTATCGATTGTACGTCTGGGCTCAACGGCTGCTATATAATATAAATTGTATATACATTAACTTAGGTATATACAGAGCTCGTGTACCGGGCCGGATGTAACTATTGGCAACCGTGAGTTCAACCTGTGTCGAAAAGAGTCTTATTTGTGATGGAATTTAGTGTTTACGCGTATTGGTATAAGGTTTAGAATAGTGTATTGGGTGTTTGGTGGTTAGGATATGTTCTGTATGTCAATTGCATCACCTCTGTGCCACCTGATTCCCGCTGGCTGGCGGGTGCGCGGGGCGCGCGGGGGTAGGGGTGCCCGGCGGCTGTTTGGTCGCGTTCGCTTTGTGCGCCGTGTGCGAGGCGAAGGCGAGTACATTCGGCCATGTTGGGCTGCTGCACACGACACCGTTGATGTGCTGTAATTACTTTTCGATGTCGGGGAAATTGTTCAATATACGATGACAGCTCTATACAGAGACACACACATGCACACATAGAGCTCTTTATTTGGATTCTGGCATGTTACTGATGTGTAGAGACTATGTATCTAGTGGCGATATCACGTACTTATAACTTATAGTATACGATTCCTATCTTCCTTTGTATTATAAGACCGTTTGTAATTGTATTTAAATGAACTGCAAATACCAATCTATACCATAACATTTGGACATATTTTTTTCTTTTGTTTTTAACAATAGTAGAGGTATGTTAATTTACGAATATTTCCTTTTACCAATCCAACTAAGCTCTAAGCTTGTGCTTATATGGTTTTCGACAATAGTCGAATGGCGGGATTCGAACCTTCGACCGCAAGAACGGTAGTTACCTCGAACCATTAGGCTATTGGCGCTTCAATTATATGTCTATTATACACACTTTACTGTATTAAAAGAAGTCCTTGTATAGAATATTTATTATCAAACATTTGTGTGACTGTCAGAGGTGGAAAATTAAATTCTAGATATCTAATTAGCGTTGTTCGTTTTTTGTTCACTCTACAGAGATTGACAGAGGCGGGAGAATTTTAATTACGGCCTTTTACGATGTTCGCTTTCAGAGAGAATGGACGACACCCAAAAATTGGCAATTTAAAAATGGCATAAATTTTCCGAACGAAATATGTAAATGAAATGTTGCTCCGACACCAATTTGCAATAAGTTTTTTGAATGTTATTTATAAAAAAGTATTTTCAGAACAAACCTTTTACAATTGAAACGATTGACGAAAGTAAAAAGTAATCTGTTTTAGTGATCAGTGTTATCTTACATTTAAAATGAAATTTAAATTTGATTAAAATGAAAAATACCCTGTCACTAAAATCCTCGTAAAGTGCATTGAAGCATGAGCGCGGTGATGTTACACTGTCCTGTCTACCCATCAGCTGTCAAAGTTGAGCGAACACAAACAACGAATATACAAAAATTTTCTAATTCGGGTCGGGGGGACATATTCGAGATCAGTGGTTTTAAACCTTTTTCAGGATATAAGGCAGCCATGTCGAGATATATAATTTTTTTTTTTGCAAGTCCTTTTATCCTAATTATGGCGAAAATTTCACATATTGATAAATTTGTCAAACTGTATGTCTTTGCAAAAGCTGAAGTTATAATCATCGAGGCTTCGCGACCCTTGTGTCGCGGAGCGATGGTTAACACCCACTGTTCTAGAGAATATGCAAGTTGGATGTCAGCTGTCTGAAACGGGCAGATATTACGCTGTGCACGGGGAACGTTAGGTATTTATAAAGCAGGTATGTGAAAACTTCCATTGAACTCAGGGCGAAGGAATATTCTTGTCCATTATTGCGAAATTTTAATATTGAAAAAATCAGGAATGGAAAGAGCTTCAGTCTTTGCATTAGTCTAATTTTGGGCGCAAAAGCACTAGGCTATAAAGTATTTAGGAACACTATTAATGCAGACTACGGAAAAAGACAATTTTCCTCCCAACTTAAGCATTGATCAGATCTTTAAGTGTTTATGTTGAAGTATAATGTGATGTGCACACATCAATCCCAGCACAATATGTACCTAAAGCTGCTATACGCTTGTTCAGAATCTATTCGAATTGAATTATATAAAAAAAAGATCTCACCTAGGTAGCGAGTGCGAACAAAAAACTGGCGGTCGGTGCGAGAGCAGGCTCTGGTGCCATCTCGCGCGCCGTTGCTAGGAGACACGGATCAATACAGCCTCCGCCGGGTTGCCTAATTACCCCCGCGCGCCCCGCGCAGCCCTCCCGCTGCCCGCCGCCCCGCGCGCCCCGCGCCACGCCCCGCCCGTGGAAACTTCTCGCCCTCCCGACCGCACCTCTACTCCCAGATTTAAATATCCAATGATAGAATTCACATTCAAATATTTTTAACTTTTTACACACCCGGTGTTATTTTTTTGCTTTTCATTTAAAGTCCGTTTTTTACATGGACCGACGGATGCGAGGTTTTTTTTGTGCATGTAGCTAAAATCCTTTGTTTCAGCGTATCCTTTCTACATCGTTCGTTCGTGACTCCTTTATCAAACATTTTCTTTGTTCGAAATTTGAATTCGATGAAAATTTTGGAATACAGATAAAGTATTTTTATTTTCTTTAGATTAAAAGCATAGTTCGTGTAATCTTTACAGTAAGTTTCTAGTGCTTATTTATTGCTATTAACATCTGTAGATTATTATCGCCCTAATTTAGGTTAAAAAGACAGTAAGAACCAACCTTAATTATTACTTCTTCTAATTGGTTTGTGGAATTACTAAAACACCAATGTAACTTTTTGAGCTACAATACTAACGTTTCGCGTAACCATAAACGTAATTTTACTTTCTTCGCATATTTTTTCTTTTATATTATGTAACGCTTGAATATTGTCAAGCATACTATATGCAACTTTAACCTATTTTTCCGGAACATAATTTTGAACGTGAAGCGACGCCAATAACTTTCTTTGTTCCATCTAGGGACCGAACGAAATTATGCTGGAAAGATGCTACGAAGAATGGATGAGAACATCCGTTATTACAGTTTTCTTTCACGTCTCCTTTGATGATGTTAAATTTACATTTTGATACTCTTTTAGGTATGCGCGAGGTAAAATATATTCTACCACAGAAAACATCATACTTTAATCTACATTTTTACTCTGAAAATATGATTATGTGACACACTTTTAAATGGCGTTTTTTAATGTTTAACCCTTAATTCGACGGAGTATTTTGTAGTAAAAAACATAACATGTTACCAACACACTAAAATAAAAACCTCACTATTCTGTAAACTGGTTTAGTATTTTTTTTTTAAATAGTTGTTCGTCACACTGGACGATGTCGAAGGTTAAAAAAGATTCCATATACTAGCCGATTTACCCTCCTTAATTTTCAGATTCCAAATTTTAAAATATTTGACTTAATTAACTAACCCCACGCAGTCGTTAAGTGACAGAAGCAGCCCCCTTAGTTTGGAAACCTCGTATGTTTCCATTAAAGGAATCATTAGCGATTTATTACTGGCCAGCTATAGCTATAGCTGGCTGTATAGTTAAGCTATAGGTAGCATAAAGCTGGCTGGCTATACTATCGTTATAACAAACCTTTTTCCATTTTGAACTTATAATTATTTACGAACATACTTCATTATGTTAAAAAAAAAAGAAGGTCTATGCAACCTTTAGTTCATTATCTTTTTTAAAGTACACAGAGAATTGTTTCGAGAACTTCCTCGAGTTCTTGCGGACGAAGTCTTCGTAACTTTATCCGTGAGTTTGCTATCCGTAAATCCACTTCAGTGCTTCGGAGCGAAGAAAGTATATAACGTACTTCCAAGATGGCGGCTTTTTATTACATTGGAATATACCGTTTTTTATATAGGTAAAGAAATTAGTCGTCGGTTAAACATTTATTATCCGAATTAGGAGTAACCACTGAGTATACATTCTGTTTAATAGGACGATGTAATAGGTTTAGGAAAACTTTTATAGTCATTATCAGGAACTTAGCAGTAATGAAACTATTTCGATGGTATTGCCAACTGGCAGCCAGCATTGGAATACTACCAATTTATACAACTCTTACCGATTTAATTAAAACATTTCAATTACACAGTAAGTTTATCAAAACATCTAAACATTTAACAATTAAATTAATATAAGTCAAATACTTAGCTTTATTTACGAGCGTCATATAATTTGCGAGACATTTTCCGTGTCTATTTCCAACAATCAAAGCTCTCAAGCTCCGATGCAGCGGGGTGGAAGCAGTCGAGTTGACAAGGCGCTTTGAGTATTGCCTTTGACGGAGCAGACTTGTAATTGGATCGCATCGAACCATCCAAGCAAACAAATAGACTAGTTTCTACGTAGACGACGAGTGATTGGGTCTGCATTTCGTGTAGTTATAGGAATTGTGAGAAATCTCTATTGTTTTCATATTTACCTCGCGACTTTTTAAATCGCAATACTGATATGAGCGCATCTTTTTACTATTTGTGGTGTCGACATTTCTTTCTCCTCTATTTCTTCTTATTGCCTTTTCTATCTGCCTGATGGTACATAAAAGAGGGCAATAGTTAAACCTTTGTGTTCGGTCTGGATGTCAACTAAATCTGTTGACGAGCTAGTATACTTACGTCTTCTAAATATAAAGATAAATTGTTGAATTTGAATTTCTAAATAAAAACTTTACTTTTTATAATATCCTCTCTAATGATTTGAAAGAAAAGAAATAAATAATTAAAGTGTGCAGGGTGCTTTTTAATGAGTACCTCGAAGGGAGCGCAGCGGATCGTAATTTGCAGAAAACATTCCGTCTTGTCTTGAAAGGTTCTTTGAAAGCTTTCCTTGGAATCAAATTAAATAGCGTCTCTAGGAGACGTGCCGGTGTGCGTTACTCGAGGAAAAATTGCTTTCTATTAAGAATATTAAATGTACTATGAAAAAGGAAACGACTGGAAGTTCTTGGAGAAGCAATCTTTTCATAACCTATTTATGATTCTTTTTTAAAAATAAAATAAAGAAAAAATTCAACAGAGTCGATATGGCATGGTTGGAAAAACAGAACGAGCGGTGGTAAAAGCGTGAATGTTGCAAGCATTGAAATAGACTTTTTTGTAAGAATTCTTAGAGCTTTATTGGTTTTAAAATGTTTCAAACTCAATACACAATTTAATTTCTTTGAAGCAAACGCTTTGACTTTCAAAGAAAATTGCGACTTAATATTGACTGCAGTTTATAGATTTTTTAAATTTGCTGTTAGCTAATATTAATTCGTCAATAGCTGTTATTAATGTATAAGCAAAATGTCGAAAATGAAATATTGCTAATAATTAAAGCTAGTATGAACATGCATCACCTTTTACTGAATTACTAGCTTTCGACCGCGACTCTTGCTTGAAATAAAAAAACAATAAGTAGCCCATGTGTTCTTCCAGATTGTCCTGATCCTTTAAGCAGTTTAGGCTGTAAACTCTAACAGAATCCATCCATCTATACTTTTGCATTTATAACATTACGAAGATAATGTAAATAAAATTATGAAACTTGACATTAAAACTACTTTTAAATACTTTAGATAAGTAAATACACAGATCGTTTATCTCTTTCTTTAGTTTTAGAGTACCTACTAGCTGTTCCCGTGCGGCTTTATCCGCATGAAATTATGAAAATTTTATTATTTCGTTTACATGTGTCAAATTATCAATTACAAATGTCAAAATGACATGATGACAATCTATGGCAATCTTACTTCCTTGATGTTGGCAGTTTGTAGCTTATGGTCCGTTTCCCACATTAGGGTTATTAACCAATTAATTTACCCCCTGAGTTTAAATGCGTGAAAATATATAGTCTAAAGCGCGACGTAAATGTAGGGTTTGTTATTAAAGTAAGAAATATTCAAAAATATGCTGTAATTACTGACATCTTACGCCACATAGTAGTGTGTTTGCGCTTTATTATATTAGTATAGATTGGGTAGAGTAGGCTTTTTCGGGAACCGGACTTACAAGTCTCTTCGAGTTATAAGTATGTGCATATCGCCTTTACGAAATATTGTCACATACTTTGTCACTGGCCGTGATAAATCCCTAAAAATAATACGAGCAAGGCTACTTTCGAGTGTGCATTTACCAAGGGACAGGACTAAGGTGATTTGGTCGCGTAAGCAATAAACAAGAATAAAAAACATACTCGTTTTAAAATTGGTAATTTCAGATTTTGTTACAAATTTATTGTCATTTATGTTTTAAGGAAGTAAAGAGTCAAATATTTCGTTTGTTGTTGTCACACAAGTTTATACATGTTTACTACGCGACTCCGTCCGCTTGTAATTAAAATAAATAAAAGTGAATAGCCTATGTGTTCTTTCAGACTATCCTCTACATTCACACAAATTTCATCGAAATTCGTTCAGCTTTTTACACTACCAACTCTAACAAACATCCATCCATCTAAACGCATTTATAATATTAGTATGAAGTATGATTTGCTATGAAGGAAAAGAGTAACCAAAAATACTTTTTCCTTAATCCATCCAAATTCAGTCAGATCTATTTGTAAGTTAAATTACTCAGTTACTTAGATATTCTTATTTTTAAAGTTCTATTTCCGATCATATAATATGAACATAGGAGGGCATTTACATGGTTTCCAGCAAAATCCTCTGAGATTCCCATTTGATTAATTTTCATATTTAAAAATCAAACAACAATAATATTTGTATATTTTTATTTAAGTGCAAGAAACTTAAGTACATACTTACTTATTCCAATTAAATATAAATCTCAAAATAATAACAAGTTTGGCATTCATTTTTTTTTAATTTCCGAAAATAAAATTTCAATAACGACTCATATCCACTGACCTCAAAAAAAAAAACTCCCACAAAGTACTAACACAATTAAACTAAGTAGAGATCAATCTTATTTCAGGTAACAACTTGAACTTGGGCATAAGTAATATAACATTATCATTCTTACAATAAAAATTAGAAAAATATCTCACAATACATTTTTTAATACATATTTATGTACCAACCAGCTATATAAAGGCAATAACACTACTATCACCGTTATTACAACAATTTCGTGACAATCGACGTAAAATTAAAAACAAAACATAACCTTAAAACTTTTTTAAGAAATAACCTTTTAAAAAATCTACATCCGACACCAAATGGTAACTTTTTCGGTTATTACCGACAAATGCGGACGGCATCGAGGTAATAAAAACAATTTGTATATATTTATTGGTATTTAAACAATGGCCAAAAGTACTTTGGTAGAGAAACTAGTATTTTGCAAACATAGTTGTCTAACAAAATGAGAACAATTTTTAAATTAATATCGTATCACGTCACCGAGTTACACATTTTCTCTGAAATCACAGCCCTTAATTTAGTAATTACCATTAACCAACGTAATTTTAAACTATAAATTAAACAACTAGAAACCATTAGACTTGGTAAGTACTAACAAGTAATAAGTAGTCGTACAATAATCTATGTGGCTTTTTAAAATAACGGAAGAATCATTTATAATATGTACTATGTTTGAGCTAAGCTCGTTCTTACATTTCTCTAGTAAAAATAAAAAAAAAAACTTCCAAACTTCACCTTTCAGAACAAAATCTGTTTTCCCACTTTCCTGTTAACAAAAATCTGGCTATTATTCGCATAATGCATAACTTTTCTGACATCAAACGTATTCGAGTAACCTTAACTGTGCTTTCCTTGAGACAATGATATACAGTTGACTCCATTTTCCTCATAGAGAATGGGAGAGTTGACTATGTTTTTGTACACTTCGCAAATGGAAACTCATTCTTACGCCAGAATATCACAAACATATTTTTTTTATGTTGGCAACATATCGGAATGATTTAGGAAAGTTGGTACGCGGGAATCACAACAGTGTGGCTAATTAGTTAATTCATTATCTAGTTTTAGCAATTAATCGACTAGTCATCATGACAGTTGACACATAAAATGGTAGAACTGGTCGAAATTGACGGGCTCCAGCTCGTATTCTTTTTCTGACCTATTGAGTAGCTCCGGATTCCTTTTGAGGAAGTTCCTGACCCAGTCCTCGCCGGCCATGCGGCTGTTCACGTCGAAGGGATGATTTAAGTTGTTGTCCTCTGCGTACTGGAAGGCCAGCTCCCTTATGTCTCTCCTGGAGACACCCATGAAGTACTTCTCCATGCTCTTTATGTATCCAACCAGGTCTTTCTCCTGGTTGTCTGTGAAGACGCGCCGGTAGTGTCCCATGAGGGGCTTGGGGTCGTCCGGCAGTTGGTAGCGTATCTTGCTGGCTCGGCGCTGCAGTGTGGAGCGCGGGATGTGGAACGTCCTGGCCGCCAACTTGTAGCCCATCTTGCCGGAGACAACGGCGGCGACGGCTTTCGCCATGTCCTCCTCGCTCCAGGACTGACGGCCGCTCATTCTTTCGTATTTACGGACCATTGAGAGCTGAAAGAGGTCAAATTGTACACTTAAATTCAAACCAATTATGCGGCTGTGCAACACGAACAGTTTAATGAGGACGGTAATTATCGTAACTTTACTTAGAACTCAATTGAGGTTCCACTTTCATTGTAAAAAGGGATAAGTACCTTCTCGAGAGTCGATAATTAAGATTTTAATTAAAGTAACCAATTTGTAGTTTTAACGTTTGTTTACTTGGCTCCAAGGCTCGTTTGAATAAAGGAGCGCGGCTTGACATCGCTGATGTTCGGCGAAGGGTAACCGCGGCTACCGGTTCTGTGGACCACGTTCAATGCCGGCGCGAGGTAAAAAAACTTTTTAATAAAAAAACAAAACCGACTTCCAAACAAAATACACGAAAAACAAAACAAAATGTACTAAAAACAAAACAAAATACACCAA